GAGGGCTACCTTTGGAGGCAAAGAATGAAGCATGTAGAACGCCCTTCTGTCACCGCGCTGTTGTCGCGGCGGTAGGGTCGTTTTTTTTATTAGCGCTTCGGACGCCGCGGATTTGCCTCCGCACTTATGTCGGCGCGGATAAGGGCATCGCGGTTTTGTGGTGGAACCAAGTTTTGATTATGTCTATCACAGAGATGCAAAGCATAGCCAGATGCATGGGGAATGTTGCCTGTAAATCAAATGGTGCAGGTGGGAACTGAATTTAAGAATCTGGAATCCAGTTCCAATTAATCTGTCTGCACAAACTGATTGTCCTGGGTATTTTGATCCAGATCATCACAGCTTCCAGTCTTACTAAAATCTATCCCCTCTTGGACATAGAAAGTTCTCTCTCTCTCTCTCTCTTTCTCTCTCTCTCTCACACACACACAGAAAGAGAGAGACAGAGACAGACGGATACCTGCACCGGAAAAGATATGTTTAAAATCAATACTAGGACAGATATCCAAGAAACCAGTTTTGTCTAACTTACAATTCTGGTAACTTCATTCATATTAAATTGGTGTGCTTTTCTTGCCTGACTGGAAACAGCAAAGTCCATATGGAGTGGGAGGTAACAAAAGAATTATCTTCAAACACAAGAAAACATATTAGTTTTTGCAGACTCAAGCTGGCTATACGCTAGAAAAGCTATGCCATAAAAGAAAGGAGCTATCTATGGTAAGACTATCAATCCCCCACGGAAAACTATTATCCTTTATTCTGTCTTTCTATCTTGTTGCAATTGCTTGTTGTGGTGTGGTTACTCTAATGAAAAGGAACACTCAGAGGGGGAAAAGAGAAAGCTATACATATCCTATATCACAACTACAAGGCATTCTGGAAACAATTTGTAAAATTCCGATGGAAAATTGCTGGTTGATGTTTTCATCCACCAAGTGTAGTCAGGTAGGGTTGTGATAGGTACAATAGAATCAGTGGTAGGATTCAAATTTTTTTTTTACTACTGGTTCTGTGGGCGTGGCTTGGTGCGCGTGGCTTGGCGGGTGTGGCAATGGGAGGGGATCCTCATTCCCTCCCCACTCCAGGACAAGAATACTGTAAAATCTCCATTTCCACCCCACTCTAGGGCAAGGATAGTGCAATATCTCCATTCCCACCCCAGTAACCTGCTTTCCAGCTCTGTTCTCCTGTGCAGGGCAAGAGAAGAAGACCCAGCCAATCAGCTAGGACTCCGATCAGCTCGGACTCGGGAGGCAGAAAATAGATGGGGGCGGGGCCAGCCAGAGATGGTATTTGCTGATCTCCAAACTGTCCGCTACCGGTTCACCAGAACTGGCTGAATACTACCTCTGAATAGAATGTGATGTAGGCAGGATGGAACTCTTTGATCCCTTCCATGTCAGCCTACCAATTCTAAGAAACCCTCCCTAAATCCCACAAGTGGAGACCTTTGCCAGGTGGTTTTTCTTCAGGGAGGACTCTCTCTTAGGGCCCAAGATCAGCAGACTGCATTAAAAGATACCTTTCCTTCCTGCCCCTCTGGTGAAACGATTTTGTGTACTCACGTAATGAGCAGACATCTGGAGTGCTTAGTCAGCCCCAGGCAAGCAATAAGGCAAATCACCAAGTCCAGAATGAACAGCAAGAGGTAAGAGAGCCATCTGGAGAAAAAAAAAAAAGAGAGAGAGAGAATGCGTGGGTAACTCATACATCCCTGGAGAAACATGGGAGGAGGAGGGATGGTGAAATTTAAGCAGGGCGCTTTGGCGGCAACACCTCAGCAGAACCATGGAACAACAACAACATGGCATTTCTACAAATTATCCAAGTTTGTGAAGGGCAAACTTCACTTCCTCTAGAGACTTGAAGACAGAACTGCTGAAATGGAAAGGGAGACATTTACGGCTAGCAAAATGAAACAGATTTGAGAAGCTGGGACTTCTGCAGTACAATCATATTTCCTTGGGAATAAGCTACACTTACTTTGAAGCTAGCAGGCAGGTGATTATAGGTAATAATCGACACAATTGTTCATTTAGTGACCGTTCCAAGGTTACAACGGCACTGAAAAAAAGTGACTAATGACCAGTTTTCACACTTAACGACCGTAGTAGCATCCCCATGGTCATGTGATCAAAATTCAGATGCTTTGCAATTGACTCATATTTTTGACGAGAGGGTGACGTGATCCTCTTTTGCAACCTTCTGACATGCAAACTCAAGGGGAAGTCAGGTTCACTTAACAATTGTTTGACTAATTTAACGACAGTGATTCACTGGACCACTCTGGCATGAAAGGTCGTAAAATGGGGCAAACTCACTTAACCAATGTTTCACTTAGCAACAGAACTTTTGGGCTCAATTGTGGTCGTAAGTCGAGGACTACCTGTGCTTTCCTTTCAAAATCACAAATAGTGACAAATACTGGGCAGGAGAAAGCATTACAGGTAGCTACAAAGCTAATTGGGGTGGGTGGGGGAACAAGATGAATGAACTAAGCAAGGAATAAACAGAAGGGCAAAAGAGGATATGGGGACCGTATGCATTTATCTTATAAGGTTTCATTTTTCAAATAGAATACTTTCAAATGTTCTCATGGTATTCCAAGCACTGGCTTAATGCAGTTTGCCTGCAGTCCCACTTAGAGTGGGGTGGAACAAGTGATTTTTTTTTTTGCCTCCTGCATGAGAGAGGCTCTTCCCAAAACAACCCAAGTGTCTAGGCTAGCATGTTTTTTTCATTCAGACGTTTCTGTGAAAACACGGCTTTTACAAGATGTGAGTAGAACAATTCAATAGAACAGTTTTAAACTATGTTATACTGGAGCCTGTGTGCTATAGAAGGTGATTTTGAGAATCCCTGTTTTTAAATATTTGAGTTGTAGGTGTGTTGGAAATGCATGATGAAATTTCAGGAATGTGTAATTCATGTAAATCGAACCATTTACCTCGGCTAAGAAAATGCAACACTGTATATATTTCTGGATATAATCCAGTGGTGGGTTCCTAACGGTTCGGCCAAACTGGTAGTGGTTTGGCGGCCTGGGTTGCTGGAGCTGGCAGCGACCCAGGCCTGCCACACCCCTGAATCAGTCCTCCAGGCGGCGACATGATCTTGTTTTTTGCTTCTGCGCATGTGCAGAACACACACACCAAGGAACCGGCAGTAGTGTCTGCCGGAACCCACCTCTGATATAATCCTATTTAGTGGTTATCTGGCTTGCTAATGTTAAAGTGCCACGTGGTCAGTAGGGATTCTCCCACTTACGATATAAAGCAGTTTGCACAATGCTCGGTGTGTTTTGTGCTTGCACATGCATGCGATTGCCTAATAATCCATGTAGCTCATTCCTGGAGCACGTGAACCAGAGTTGTCTTTCTGTATTTTTGCCAAAGGAAAGGTTTGTAATTGTTCCGACCTTGCGGGTACTATTTTCTTACGGATTTATTCACAGATAGGGTTTTCTGCTTCAACAATATTAGAGACAGAGAGGAAGAGCAAGATCTCTATTTTAGTTAGTGTTTGAACTAAACTGGAATCCGATTAAAATTCTTCCACGTGTGGCCAAGAGCTAATCACAGGCAAGCTGCAGCTTTTGGTGCAACTTCACTACTCCCAAGAGAATTCAGAAAGACTAGGGGGAAGAAAAAAATCCAACCACCACTTTTTAGCATTCAGGGCAGTTCTGGTTTCATTTTGCCCTCCGAGCAAGTTAAATAAGCAACTATATCTATTTAAAATAAACTACGTTAAGTATAGAAATTAGATGTGCAAATGGGATGAATTTGAGAAACAGCCCATGAAATAAATCAAGTGCATATTTGTTTGCTGCAGAACGATGTTTATTTCCAGTGTGATGATACCTTACACTAGCTTTACCCTGACCCCACTGAAAACTCAAGTGTGGACATTAATTCTATCAGAATTCTGCTTCCATTTATAACAAATATTCAGCGAAACCATGTTGATCAGAATGGAGACATTCTGAACTTGGTGGCTATACAACTTTTCATGATGAAGCTGGACCACTCCAGAGTTGCAATCATAAGAAAGATAAGAGAATCTTTACCTCTAGCATGCAGCGATATTGTGGAAATGTTAGCATTTTAATCATTTTCTTATATACCTACATAATTTGATTTTATTTTTTAAAGAAAGCTGTCTCACGCTAGAAAGAAAGAATTAAGCAAAAATACAGTCACTTGACCAGGATGAAGTACCTCCTCCTATCTGTCCAATCACTGCCCTCTTGGAACCTGCTGTAAGTCAGAAAGATTTTAGGCTAAGGCCCATTCGTTCCATCAGGGGTAAAAGAAAAGGAGAGACAATAGCAATAGCAATAGCACTTAGACTTGTATACCGCTTCATAGTGCCTTTACAGCCCCCTCTAAACTGTTTACAGAGTCAGCATATTGCCCCCAACAATCTGGGGAAATGAATGAAAGAAGCCCTATCTCTGTAATTGTGTAATGAAATCCACAAAGGGCTATTTTAAGGAGTCAATTCATTGGTACAGACAGGATATCATCTCTGCTGAACAGGAGTAATTCTGCAGGATATCAGAGCAGGCACTTTCCCCCAGCAATTAAACTATGGAGCTACTGTAGCTTCAGAGGCCTGAAGGGAAAAAATCCCTTTGAACTTTCAAGACTTTCCAGATTAGCTCAAACAGTTTCTAACAAGAGACCTCAATCTTTCTCCAGCCGAGGGCCTCTTAAATATATTGACTTCATTTTCTGCATTTCTCAGTCAGGAGTCATCCTGAGTTGGGAACATGAGGAGGAGGAGGACATCCAGCTTGGGGAAGGCTGAACTCCACAAACTCTTCAATAAGTCCTTACTGACAATGTATGTCTCTTGCCACGATGACCATGCTGACTTACCTATAATATTCTACATAGCTGACATCATTGGCAATCATAGACAAGTCTACAGTGACATCACTCCACACGGGAAGCCCTGACAGTTGCAGCACAATATTGTCTGCCATCTGCTGCATGAATTTCAGCGTTTGTACATATTCACTGTGGGTTGCAAATATCTCATTCAGGCGGGCCACGTGCTGCTCCAGAACTATTTTCATCTGTGTCCTAGTGCCTGAGACCTGCCAAAAGACAATAAGCAGACCACTGAGAACCAGCAGGCAGATAGCTTCTAATTGCTTGCCCAGCAGAATGAATGGCCACAATGACCTCGGCTTATATAGGTAGTCCTCAACTTACAGCCACAACTGATCCCAAATTTTCTGTCATCATATGAGAATTCATTAAGTGAGTTTTGCCCCATTTTACGACATTTCTTGCCCCAGTTCTTAAGTGAATCACTGCAGATGTTACGTTAACAACACTGCTAACACTTCACTACGTTAAGTGAAGCTGGCTTTCCTGTTGGTGTTGCTTCCGAGAAGGTTGCAAAAAGTGATCACATGACCCTCAGACACAGCAATGATCATAAATACGAACCAAGTGCCGAGTGTCTGAATTTTGATCATATGACTGTGGGGATGCTGCAAAGGTTGTAACTGTGAAAAATAGTCACAAGTCACTTTTTTCAGTGCTGTTGTAACTTAGAATGGTCACTAAAGGAACTGTTGTAAGTCAAGGACTACCTGTATATTGATCTGGATAGGCCAAGTCGTCTTATGCAATCATCACCCCAAGAATAAAGACAACACAAAGGCGATGGTGACTAACTTTCTTCATACATACATACTATAATCTAAAACAGCTTTCCTCAGGCTGGTGTTTTCCAGATGCATTACATATCAATTCCCATGAATCCCCAGTGAAAAGGCTCTTCTCACAATAGCAGATAATGAAATTATCCTTCTCAAAAGCAAGTTAAGTTAAATTAGCACCATGTTCACAGGCTCATCTTTCAGCTATCCTCTCATCCATATTTTTTTTAATTAAATGCACATTGGGAAAGGAGACCCGGGAAGAAAGGAGGGGCAAAGCAGCAACAAAAAGGACAAGAATCTTGCAGGAACACAGCAAAGCAGTGGGTGAGGGCTGGATCTCCCGTCTCCTATTAACACTGATTAGAGTAGAATAACAGAGTTGGAAGGTACCTTGGAGATCTTCTAGTCCAACCCCCTGCACAGGAGGAAACCCTACACCATTTCAGGCAAATGGTTGTCCAATCTCTTCTTAAAAACTTCCAGAGTATTCACAACTTTTGGGGCAAGTTGTTCCACTGATTAATTGTTTTAACTGTCAGAAAATTTCTCCCCAGTTCTGGGTTGCTTCTATCTTTGATCAGTTGTCCTTCACCCATTCTTTCGTAAATTTACTTGTACGTTTGGGTCACTGACTTATTTGACTAACAGACTTCCTGATATTATTCTGTAGAATTCTCTGAAACAAACCAAAATGTACTTTTTCTTCAACAATGGTAAGTCACCTAGACCCTGAAGCTGCAAACCATTCCCAAACCATGACATTATTACCACGTTTGACAGCCAAAATATGGCTCTTCTTGTGGAGCATAGTGTTTGTTTCTATTAGTCATGAACACATCTGTGTAACCTGAGATGTTTTACTTTTGATATTTGTTTACAGAACATTTTGCTAGACATTTAAGGAGTAATCAATGGGGGGTTGGTGGGTTCCTGATAAACCTGAGATGAACCTCACTGTTCATAGTGATTAACAGCACTCAAAGTATTAAAACTATCATGAATCCTATTTTCATTCAGTGCGTTTCTGATAATAGTCATTAACACTAAATTTAGCCAAGTTGAAAAATGCCTGCATATCTTCAAGACATTTTTATGGTTTCCTGAACAATTTTGCTTCAATTTGCTTGATTTTGACAACCCTCTTTAAGAAAGTGCACTATTACCACAATTTTCCTCATCGCAAAAATGTTTCCGATTGTGTGTCTGGAGTCTCAACTCTTGAGAAAAGGTTTCAAAAATCTCTCCCCCTCCCTCCTCGGCGCAATTAATAGGCAACAATTTTGTTGAAATAGCAATCTTAACAGATCAGATTTCTTTTAGTGGGGCATGGCTTAATTGAGACATATGAGTGGTGACCTCTGTGACGAGGCAGCCAAAGTTAGTAGTGTATTTATTTAGGATTGAGCTGAGTCAAACCAGCGCTGATTATTTAGTGAGATACACAATTGGCCTTAGTTATTCTTTAACTGAATTTACTGTTTCCAGTGAATAATACTAGAACATCACATTTTTGGATTACTCTATAAAATAAATGAAACAAGGATCCTATGTTTGTCTTCTTCCTTCAGACTCCTTTTATATGTCATGGGGATCCACATGATATCATTCGTTGGCAAAGATATGTAAAATTAGAGAAAATCCCAAAGGGATCCTATAGCCATGTAGCAAAAGCAGGATGAGACAAATACAAGGATGTTAACTCATCACTCATGGCAACATTCCCACTCACTCATATCCTTTTGCCCCTCTCAAGGTTTCTTTGTTCAACAGTGTTCCCCCCACCCTTCTTTTTCAAGCAACCCTTTTCTCAGACAATATGTTCTCATGGGTTATCTCAGCCCAAATCCTTACACTATGATCTCAGCTCCCTTCAACAGCAATAAAATAACTTCAGATAACTGTTCTGAAGTTAACCAGAGCCAAGGCATTTCTTGATAGTACAAAAGTCCATTTTGTCCATTTTACTGACTAACCAAAGTGGACGTTTCCAATCTCAAATTCAGATTTCTGACTTTCCGTTTTTGCAGCCGATATGCCTTCCGGAAAAAGGGAAGCTATCAACATTGCTTATATCCAACAGAGACAGTATATGATGCAACTACCTCTTTCACATGATGCCATTCTGAAGTACAGATGATAGTAGCTTCAGGGGAAAATATAATGATAGACTGTGGAATTGTTGATATGAATCGATTCTTTGTCCAGTACTTACTGTCAGTTTCACCTCACCGAAAAGAATGAACTACTTAGGCAAAATTGCAGGAAATCTGTGAAAACCATGTCAAAGAATTTCAGCAGCTGTAATGATTCAAGAGCAAGCCTTATTTAAGTAAAGGGTATTCAAACCCACTTAGATATAATTTTCCTCCCTGCACTCTTCTCACTGTCTCTCTCTCTCTCTCTCTCTCTCTCTCTCTCTTTTGTTCAGGTTGGCTTATCTTCATCTGCCCTTTATTTTACGACTGCCCAAATTGCTATCAACTTGGCTATGAAATAATGCATTTCCTTGATCAAGTCTGGCAGCTTGATCAGACCAGTCAGAGAACATTATCTTCAAGGCCCACACCTATAGGGGGTGTGTGACCTATAGGAGGTGGTATAGGATCTCCTGCTTGAGCAGGTGGCTGGATTAGAAGACCTCCAAAGTCTCTTCCAGCTCTGTCCTGATTGACTGACAACAAATACTGGAAGGTGGACATTCTGTAGCATTCTTTTCCTACTGGAGTAGCTTACTGGTGAGATAGCCACAATTCTTATCCAAAAGATCCAAAATTTACCCAGAAATGTTAACATTAAACTTTCCTAAAGGGTTATTTGAGTCTGATTCTAGATCCATCAATATAAAATTTCCAGACGTTCTTAGCAGGAAAGCTATGAAATAGAGGAGGGACCTCCACAATGGTAGGCCTCTTGGTATTAGCTATTCCAATGGATGACCATTCCAATGGAATCTTATTCTCAAATAGCTACTTCAACTTCCAGCACTCCACAAAACCCATCTAAGGCTGTTCCCCTCAGAAGAGAGGCCTTACCAGTGAATCAACCCCTGAGAGGGTATGATTAGCATTATCAAGGGCG